GAGTTTAATTCTTTTGGATAAGTGCTCCAAAGTAAAATTACAGGATCACATTGTAGACATTTTTAATTGCTTTTGTATGTAATATTCAAGAGAATAATATTTCTGTCCTCTAAATGCCAAAATATTCCGGAAGATGAAATGTAAATTTTCACATAATGCATGCAATGCAATAGGCATTAATGCTGAATTAAGTCATTGGTAATGACACATTAATGTCTGAGGATAACTTTAAGGTAGACATTTTGTTCCTTTCTTTACTCATTCAGTTATTAGTCAGTCAGTCCAGAAGTCTCTTTAAAAAGCTGTGCTTTCCAGAGTATCACTTTAAAGACTACTAGTAGATAAGCAAACTCTCCAGATACACGTTCACATTTACATTGCTTTTAGAATATGTAATGTCATACAAGTGAAAAGAAAAAAAAATTTAAATAGGTAATCACAGTTTTTATATATGAATTGAGGAAATTCAATTAGTTCTATGGAAATGTATTTTATACCCTAAAGCTTTTCATTAAAAATTAGAATTGACTAGGTATATGGTGGGCTCCTTACAAATTCTACAAAAATAAATAATATTGGGTCTATTCAAAATGATTAGCAATTTGAATCCCTATTCAGTATCACGTGGTTTCTCAGGAATGTGCAGCAATGTTTGTTGACTGCTGTGTTTCCCTGATTTGAAGGCCAGCAGCAGCACTTCCCAGGTGATATGGGGCGGTAGGGTACTGTTCAGAAGAACGCTAAGTAGCGAGTGCAAGAATTGCATTGTTTCATTTTCAGTATGATTGCTTCGGCGAGTCCCCCACCATTCTTTGCACTTCATTTTGTGCAATGTTTTCAGGGGAGAATTGACAAATGAGTAACGGTCTTTCTTCATTCCCCTTGCGATTCAAGGCTTCACTTGGGAATGTGTTCCCTGGGATCCTGGACTTCAACCTCTGAGTAAATAGAGTTCAGTGGGAAGAACTTCAGGTGTGAATCTTAGCAGATCTCTCTGCACAGGTAAGTTACACCAGGTATTTTATTTTCTACAAAGTCTAAATGTAAGGTTTAAGTATTTTTGACTATTTTTCAGTTTCAATTAGACTCAAGACTGACTGAAATGATGCATATTTTTCAAGTAATCAAATATCTGCCCCTAGATCACTGAGTTTCAAGGAGCATGGTAGAATTTAAATTACGATGTCCAAAGTCCCTATTGATAAATTAAACTGCTTAAATATTTACACAGAGAACAAATAGTCGTTAGAAGGATATATTTTGCCATAGCACACCCAGAAATCTTATCTGCCTTACAGCCCCTGGATGTTTTACAAGAGATTGTGCCAGATAAGAAAAATAAGTTTTAAATTTTCCTGAAATATATGATTCTGTGTTTCTGTGGAAAGCTTACACAAATGGAAAAATTTTCTGGTGCTGATGGTTGTTCCATGTGCCCTTTTAAGGAGATTAAGTATTTTTCCTAAATACAGTGACGCATGTCTAATGAAGCATAAGGCAATTCTAAGGGTTGAGTAATTCACCTGTGGTAGTGAGCACTAGGTTTGATCTTCACACTTAAACACACAAATACACACCAGTACCTATACAGACACACACACACACACACACACAAAGTGCATGACAGCTCCCAGGTTCGAGATTAGTAGAATATAAACTTGAACTAAACTTAGAAGTCAAAAAATTAATTTTGTTATCATTTCTTTTTCCAATTATGATTAGTTTTGATTTGTTTTGTTACATTTAAACTTATATACTGTGTCCAGATTTTATGTTCAAATTTTGGTCTTTACTTTTAATAGACACAAATTTGTACATACTTATGAGGTACAATATGGAAAGTAAATAAAGTGTACATGGTGTGTGATGATCAAATTAAGATTAATATTATGTTCATCTTCTGGAGTGTTTATCATTTTTTTGTTGATAGACATTGGACTCCTCTAACTATTGTGAAATACACAATAGCTTTATATTAGTATGGAAAATTATAACACACTTGATATGCCTAGTTAAAATGTAAGCACCCTCAGTAAAATGGAGAAATTCCAGTAATTACTAGAAGTGAACTAAGTAGGTGCAGATAACAATTCAGTTTTTCTTGACAAGAGAAATGAAATATGAAACACACAAATACCATTACACATGCACACACAAATGCATGACAATTTCCAGGTTAGAGGCCAGTACAATATGAGCTGGAAATAGATTTAGAATCTATACAATATCTTTTCCAAAAGCCCTCTACATTATGGTCCCTATAAATGAAGCTTAGTTTGAACCTCTTCTTTTTTCCTTTAGCATGTATAACAAACACATTGGGCTTCTTATACACTTTTACAACATTAGATTTATATTTCTGTTGCTAGATACACATCAGAAATGTAGGAGAACTCAGAGTCAGAAAAATCAATAAGAATAATGAACATGGAAATGTTGCCCTACATTGAGCAGATGAGACAGAATGATGTGGCAGATATTAGCAAGGAAAAACCCACTAAATCTATTTGCAGAGAAACACTAAAATCCCCCAGGATGAGTAACAGCAGCCATGGCTTGGAGAAGAAACCTGTAGATACGAAGAGGAAGACGCCTGGAAGCCACCCTGCTGATGAATTCCTGAAAGAACACTCCTTTTCTTTGCTACAAGTACGGACACATCTCCCCTGTGCATCTGTATATGTGCACATATTTAAATATATTCTTGTTCCTCAGTTAACCTGTTTATTTTACTAGAATCTGAATGATTACCTTAGTAAATTCCATACTAAAATAAATATTGATTTAAGTGATATAAGCTTCCTTTAAACAGTCTAAAAGAAAAAAAAAACTGTCAGGAAAGTAGATGTAGATAAAATAAAATCTTTATTATTGTGAAATCAAAATCTTTAGTGTATATTTGATGGAAGATCTATAAGTGTATGAGAATAGTATTCACAAATAATAAAATAAAATGAATATCCTTCATTCATATCAATGCTGTATCCAATTTATTTTTTCTAGATTCAATAATTATTTGTCTTGTCTAACCACATTTAAAAAAGTAAATCCTATGTATGTCAAATTAATCTTACAATGTCGAGCAAATACCTGTTGTTATGTTGAGTGGCAGTGAGAAGATTGATTTACCAGTCAAAAGCTGTTAAAGTTGTCTAAAGTGGTTTACATTTAGGGCTGGGACTAAGGCTATAAGCATAAAAAGCAGAGCGCACTTTCTTTTCGTTATAATTCCTGATAAAAATGTGAAGATAGAAAATTGTGAACTTTTAATGAAAAGAAATTTTTGAAAAAATATCAGCATTACCAATCAAAGTTAAAATTTTTGTAGGCATGTATTACCAACATTCAAAAGGTATATACTGTAGCTTGTCATATCAATCAGTGCAAAACAGACAAATAAATGTCTACTAGCAACCTTATGATCTACAGATTTCCAAATGTGGTTCTAGGTTCAGGGGTGGAAGTAAGTCATTTTAAATTAGGGTAAAAGAGAAAAAAAGTATATAATATAAAATTTAAAAAAGAAGAAAGGACCAAAACATAAATATCTCCAATGCTTTCAGAAACACTGAGGTGCAGGTGTTTTGTCTGAATTGTAGAGTAATTGTTACAGTTGTCATGTTACACCTCTTTGGCATGTCCTTGGACAACATTTTTCCAATTAAGGAAGAAATAATTTTCCAAAATAAATCAATTCCTCTTCCATTTTCATAAATAAATAAATAAGGGAAAAAAAAAAGTCAGCTAACCTTACAATTAGTGGCTACATTATTAAGTTTTCAACGGGTTTATACTTCCTGAAACCCAATGGGTTTTAATGGTTTTGCCCTCAATAATTATTCATGGTGGCCTGAACAGACAAGAGAAGTGGGTTGGTGCTAAAAGAATTCATTCTAAAGGATGTCAGAACCCACCCTGATCTACAGGCCTCTTTCTTGGGGCTGCTCCTCATCATCTCTGCACCCGCAGTGGTGGGTACCTTGTGTATGGTCATCCTCACGCAGATGGACATCGAGCTAAAAACACCCCTGTACTTTTTAATCCCACATCTCAGTATCCTTAATCTTGTTCACTCAAGAGCTATGGGGCCCAAAATACTGGTGAATTTTATAGCTAACTGCAAAATGATCCCAAACGACTCACCATCATACCCATCATTAGTGAACATTTCATTCTGTCAGCAAGGGCCTGGGACTGCTATGCGGCCATCTGCAACCCTCCGCTCTACACAGCGATCATGTCCTGTTGCTGTGATCATTAAAAATACCAAAATACCAAGAATAAAGCAGACAGGAGCCTGAGAACTAAGTTCAGACACCGTAGCATTCACTGAATCAACAAGTCTTACTTCATTCTTTCCCCCAACATGTAAGGACATGTTAGATTTTTTTATGCAAATAAAGAATTTCAGGTAATTTAAATTATATATCCAAAGTAATGTTCCATACACTATTACAGTTTAATAAAGTAATGATCTTTTGGGAGGGAAACCTTCAGTTTGAGATGATTTGTTACAGTTGTCCTGTTATACCTCTTTGGCATGTCCTTGGACAACATTTTTCAAATTTAGGATGAAATAATTTTCCAAAATAAATCAATTCCTCTTCTATTTTCATAAATAGTTAAATAAGGGCAAAAAAGTCAGCACGACCAGGGTAATTTTTGAAATGAGAACCACCAGTGTAATTTTTGAAAGATGATTTCATTTTAAAACATTCTAGCCAGGTATGGTGGCTCACCCCTGTAATCCCAGCACCCCGGGGGCTGAGGCAGGAGGATTGCTCTGAGTTTGAGGCCCACCTGGGCTACAAAGAGTTCAAGGCCAGCCTGAAGTACATAGCGAAACCCTGTCTCAAAAAAAATATTCTAAATGGGAAAATTTGAATCTATTTACATGCAATTCCTCTCTATAGTAAAAGTTCCCCAGGTGGTAGATAATATTGAAAATCTATTAACTATGCCAATATTTCTATCCTGAACAGGTTTTCTGATCACCCTGGATGGAGGAGCACAACCTCACCATGGTGACCGAATTCATTCTGCTGGGCATCACAGACCGTCCCGAGCTGCAGGCTCCACTGTTCCTGCTGTTCCTCGCCATCTACCTGACCTCGCTGGTGGGCAACTTGGGCATGATCGTGCTCACCCAGGTGGACTCCAGGCTGCAAACACCCATGTACTTTTTGCTCAGACACCTGGCTGTCACTAATCTTGGTTATTCTACAGCTGTGGGGCCTAAAATGTTGGAAAATTTTGTGGTGGAACAAAATACAATCTCCTATTATGATTGTGCTACACAGCTGGCTTTCATAGCTGTGTTTCTTGGGAGTGAGCTTTTTATTCTGTCTGCCATGTCCTATGACCGCTACGTGGCCATCTGTCACCCTCTGATGTACACGGTCATCATGTCCCCAAGACTATGTTGGGTTCTTGTGGTGATTCCCTATTTCTACTGCACGTTTGTGTCTCTCCTAATTACCACAAAGATTTTCACTTTGTTGTTTTGTGGAAACAATGTCATCAGTCACTTCTACTGTGACAGTCTGGCCTTGTTATCTCTTGCTTGCTCAGATACATATGAAACTGAAATGATAAATCTAATCTTAGCAGCTTTTCACTTACTTTCCTCTTTCCTGATGGTCCTGGTGTCCTACCTGCTCATCTCTGTGGCCATTCTCAGGATGAACTCCACAGAAGGCCGGCGCAAGGCCTTCTCCACCTGTGGGTTCCACCTGACCGTGGTCACAGTGTTCTACGGGACTTCGATATTCATGTACGGACAGCCCAAGTCCGGTCACTCCGGTGACACTGACAAAGTGGTTTCCATATTTTACACCCTGGCCATCCCCATGTTGAATCCCTTGATTTATAGCTTCAGAAATAAAGATGTAAAATATGCCCTGCAAAAGGTATGGAGGAAAACTCTGCGATATCTTCTCTGAAAATTCTCTGCATTATGGTTCCTATAAATGAGGTTTAGTTTGAACCTACTCTTTTTTTTCCTCTAGCATGTATAACAAATATATTGGGCTTATTATATACTTTTATATCTTTGGATTTAATATGTTTGGTAATGGATACATTTCTATAAACGTGAGAAATGGGAAAAATTCCTTTATTATAACCTGAATACTTGAAAAGAGCATGACAGTGAGACAGAATTGGTTTACAGTCTACAGACCCTATAAGGAGGAAATAGAGTTGCGTATCATTTGAGAATCAGGCGGAATAGCTGGCACAGAAATGCAATGGCTTTTGTGGGTTTTTGCAAACATTACCATAAAACTTCCTGCATCCATGTGTGCCTGTGAGCTCCTTTATATGCGTGTGTAAGCACGATATTTCCTTTGGAGGTTCTGTATACTTCTATAAATTTTTTTAAGGTCATAAACGATTGCAGTTTCAGCTGGCTCATTAAAGTGTGATAATTGGAGGGAATCAATGGTAACACTGTGTTCAAAAGTCCCCCTGGAGGACTTAGGGTGCTTCTTTTCTTTCCTGATGGGTTCTTTTCTCTTCATATATGGGTCCTGTACATCAAAAGAATTCCCTTGTTTGTGTATTGAAATGTAGCATTGCATTTTGCCTCATTTAGTGCATATGTGCTATGAGTGAATACCCCAATTAAAATACACTCCAATTAAAGTACCTCAACTAAGTACCCCACTTAAAATATACTTCTGGAGCTCTGCCCCGGGTCTCCAGGATTTTGCCCCCACCTCCCCACAACTAGCTTTATCTCCATTCCTTACTACACATTTTTCTCTACTGAATGCTCACTCTGTCATCCTTCTCTCAATAAGAAAATGCTCATTTAAAAGTCATAGCCATACTCTGGTGTCTCTTCAGATCGTATAAATCTTTTGCCTTATCATAAAAGTCATAGCCCACATTTCTTTATTCTTGCAAAAGATGCCTAATTTATGGTGAAGTATTTTTGTTATTTCTCTTTCTTGTGGCTGACATTCCTAAATCTTGTTCATATAATAGTGTACTATTTCGGGAGGGATCTTTGCATCCACTTGAAAATATGAATGGAAGAAAGCAAGCAGAAATAACTCCATAATTTGAATAATTCTGTCTGGAATCAGTGTGTAGTATACTATGTTTTTTGTATATACTTGTTATTTCATCTGCACGTATGCCATGTGTCACATTCTTAAATCTTCCATGTATTCTTCACTATCTTAAATCTTCCATATATATGTATGAAAGATATATATATAGAGAGAAAAAGAGACTATATACAGAGACTATATATATATAGCTTCCATATATATATGAAAGATATATATAGAAAGACTATATATATAGAGAGAAAATATATATATAGCTTCCATATATATATATATATCTTCCAACTATATATATATATCATCCAACTATATATATATATCTTCCAACTATATATATGTACATACATATATATATCTTCCAGCTATATATCTATCTTCCAGATATATATATATATGTGTGTGTGTGTGTGTGTGTGTGTGTGTGTGTGTGTATAGTTGTTTTGTTGTTTTTTGATACCAGGAATTGAACTCAGCACCTCATGCTTGCTGGGCAGGCACTGTGCCACTGAGCTACATCTTCAGCCCTATTTGCATTATTTTAACGTTACTGTGATTTTATTCACATGGTAGGTAGATTTGTATTCTTAGTGCATGACTTTGTAACAAAATTTTCTATGTAGCTAAAAAATGTGGGCCAAATGATTGAGTGGAATAATTAAATAATATGTATTACTACTAAATATTATATATTATATAGACATGGGGTATTATCAAAGATTTAAAAATGGATTTTTATGATGATGAAATTCTATGATAATTATATGGAATATATAATACTGTAACCTTACATATTCTGTATTCTGTACCCTTAAACATTATTATGATGAAATTCTATAATATACTATACAGAATATACATTATCCTAGAACCTTAAATATGCATAAACATATCTCAATTTCCTAGAAAATAAATGTGTAGCAGGAAAAACAGTAAAATGCTGATGGTGACCACAAATCATAAAAATATTTACATCATTCTATTTTAACTTATCTCTTCTCCCGATTAATATTCTGTTATTTATAACATATATAAAACCAATTATATTATTTTAATAGAACAGATGAAACTTTGAAAGTGTAAACTTGACAAAATGTTTTTTAATGTAGACCAATTTCACATTCCTATTATAAATATTTGTGTAACTGTTGACAGCCCCTGGAACGATAAACCAAAAATGAAGGAAATATTTTGACACTTAAAATTAGGTAAGTATTTCATTTATTTTTAAAGTTAGTCTGTATTTTACTAATAAGTAGGTTGATAAATTATTTCAGAATTTTCTTAAATTTAAAATGTAAAATAAATTTTAAGAAACAGAAACTGGAGTCTAACAAAATGATTGCTAAGCTAATATGAGTCATAGAGTTTAATATTACATATAAAAAGTTTTTGGAAATTTCAAGACAATTTTGAATAAGAAATGTACAATAGTTTAGAGACAGGCAGAGTTTCTGTAACAAAGATATCTGTAGTTGAGTTTGGATTGATAAGCAGTGAGGTATTTAATATTTTTATTTAGAAATATGCTAGAAAACATTTCATACATGAAAATGACTTTTCAAATTATAATTTTTAAAATAATGTTCTTTACCCCTTCCCAAAATCATGTCCATGTACTTGGACCTTTTTTTAAAAAAATAGGGTTCATAAGTTTCTAGAAATTCTTTTTAATCGCTAAAGAGAAATTTTGTAAATTTTGTATAAATTTTCACTTCATGTTAAAGACAGATGCAGGGAAAGGTAAATTGAATTGGAGCTGAGCGATAAGGATTGGTGATCATTTCAGGATATGGCAGTAAGGTCACATTAAGTGCTAGTTGATTTTCTGAAATTTAAAATATTAAAGTTACACACACATTCATAATTTGTACCCTTTCTGAATCGGATCTTTAATCACCATTGAGTATATGTGAAGAGTTTTGCCATTGTTCACAGATATAAAACTTTAAAGCCATTGTGAAAAAGCCATTCTGAATATTGGAATTATGGGTGAAGAAATCATTCTTCCAATAGATAATACAAGTAAATCAAGGTACTTGTACAGTTAAAAGCGATAATAAATGAAGGCAGCTGAATTATGTACATAAGAATTCCTCAGTAGGGTAATCAAAGAATTCTCTGGATAATTAAGGAAAAGTCAATGTCACTACTGCCTCTTCTTAGAAGCTTTGGGACTACTCAAGAAATTATATTTTAAATCCCAGGAGTAAGTTTCAAAGTGCAGAGACAGTCATAAATTCTTCCATATGCTTCTGGTTAGCTATTGTTCAAGGGAACAGAATTCACTTCTCATTTTAGATAAGTACTAGGGACTAGTCATTATGATTATCAAATTAGTTCTAATGTTTTTCCGTGATTCATTCTAATTGAAATTGCAGGATAGATTCCATTATAAACAGTAGATACAAATCCCAGACTAAGTATTCTCTACCATACTTAGTAACATTGCTCTTCTACAAATATACCAATGTAGTTTTAAACCATTATCTTCATGAGGGCAAACATCGACCCTATTTCTATTTGTTCTTACAATTTCACTGTACTGCTACCCTAAACAATGGACATTACAGGAAGCAGTAAGCATAATTTGAATTCTCCATTTAAGCTGTCTAAATCCAGATAACATTGTTCAACTGTGGACCACAGAGGCAGGTCAGCTGTGAATAACTCAAATCCTGATATCTTTCTAGTGGGGCTTCCAGTGGTTCAGTAAGCTGATGTCATTTTCTTTTCTTACGCTTAGAGTTTTACTTGAGACGCAGCAATTTGTGGTCTCCTTTTATTAATACCATAGAATGCTAGACTTGTCATGGTACAAATACTCCCCCACTCAAGGGTAACTTCTGAAGAAAGGACTTGTATGATCTTTATTTAGCAGGTAATTCTGGAAAGCAAATACGAGAGAGTGGAGTACATGAGACAAAGCTAGGTCAGAGGTAGAGCTGGAGCAAGATGCAGTGAGGAATAGGTAACCGGATTAAACAAACGGACATCACTCTTAATGTTCTGAGGTGTCTTGCAGAACTCTCCTAGGAGTTGCTCTAAGGCAGGGCAGACGTTAGATATCTACCTGGCAAATCTTGTTTTTATTGGTATTATTCCTTCCATACTGCATTCCAGGCAGTTTAAAGCTGCTTTCAAGAGCTCTGGAAACTTTGTCTCCAGAATGCAGCAAAATCCTCAGAGGGTAAAGTCATCAAAGTGTCAGAAAAAACTCTACTGTGTCTCCAGACCAAGGGAGAAGTGGCCCAACGTGATCAGAGATGGGCCGACAGATGGTTCCTTACAGCAACACTTGCAATAGCGATCACAGAAAGCTCAAAAGTAGGCATTTTGACTCAGGCTAATACAACAACAAGAGGATGCTCTTGCCTCTGCTGTCTTTGTATTTAACTTGTAGGTGTTTCCATATGGATAGTAAGGAGCAAATCTTGGAGGAATTCCTCAAATATTTTTAACGTGGTATGGCTGTGTTTAACATCAGTGCATTTGGAAGTTCAAGAAGAGATACTTGTGCGTGGAAGAGTTATAAACCAAATATACAAGGTTTGTTTTCAGTTCTGGTGAATCTGCCACCCCATAAACACTTCAGAGTTTTCGGCTTCATTTGCCCTTCCCACGCATGAGGCATCAGGACTGATCTGGTTTTCACTAAGGGATTTGGGAGCCCTGCGCCATGAACTGCACCAAACATTTAATAGTTTTGTTACAGTACGCTCCTATAACCACGATCTTGGAAGAAATCAGAAGTTTTCCCAAAACTTTTATTTGTATTAGTCCGTGTTTGCCGTATGCAATGATCGCGTGGGTCGAGGGGAGTTGGTGTGTGGACCTAACATCTTCATTCTATTCCTCCCTGCCCGCTG